CCTCGCGCCGTGTCCTGCCCTCTCAGGACGTCACTTTTGACGAGTCGGTGCCCTACTACCGCCTCTTCCCCTACTGCACTGCCCCGCTCCCCCCCCCGCCTCTCTTCCTCGCACTAGGTGCTGCTGTGGTAGACCCCCTCCCCCCTCAGGGTGCCGCTCCCTCAGGTGTGTCCCAGGTAGACCCGGTTGAGCCGGTCGAGGTAGCTGTCGACTCTCGTCCTGCTCGGGGTGCTGAGCCTGAGCGTGCGGAGCCTGGGGGTGTGGAGCCTGGAGTTGCGGAGTCTGGGGGTGCGGAGCCTGCGGGTGCTGAGTCTGGGGGTGCGGAGCCTGCGGGTGCTGAGTCTGGGGGTGCTGAGTCTGGGGGTGTTGAGCCTGAGGGTGCTGCGACTGAGAGTGCTTCACCTGGAGGCGCTCTTTCCTCACAGTAGCTGCGTGAGTGGTACTTACAGTACTGCAGCCTCAGGAGAGGTACTGCTGGAGCTCGTGCTCGTGCTTCCCCTCCTAGGCGGGAGTTGCCCTCTCCCCAGCGGCTTCGAGAGTGGTACGCTCGTCGCTGCAGTCTCCGGAGTGGCGCTCCTTGTGTCGAGGACCCTGGAGCTGGAGGTGCTGCTGGTGCTGGAGCTGCTGGAGGTGCTGCTGCTGCTGGAGGTGCTGCTGGTGCTGGTGCTGCTGGAGCTGCTGCTGGTGCTGGAGCTGCTGGAGGTGCTGCTACTGCTGGAGGTGCTGCTGGAGCTGCTGGAGGTGCTGGTACTGCTGGCGCTGCTGGAGGTGCTGCTGGTACTGGTACTGCTGGAGCTGCTGGAGGTGCTGCTGTTGCTGGCGGTGCTGCTGGAGGTGCTGGAGGTGCTGCTGGAGCTGCTGGAGGTGCTGCTGGTACTGGTGCTGCTGGTGCTGGTACTGCTGGAGCTACTGGAGGTGCTGCCGGTGTTGGAGCTGCTGGAGGTGCTGCTGGTGCTGGAGCTGCTGGAGGCACTGCTGCTACTGGCGGTGCTGCTGGAGGTGCTGCTGGTGCTGGAGCTGCTGGAGCCGCTGGTCCTGGAGGTGCTCGTACTGGAGGTACTGGAGCTGCTGGGACTGGAGCTGCTGAGGGGGTTGGAGCTGGAGTTGCTGAGCGGCTGCGGCCGTACTACGTTCCGCTCCTTCAGCAGGTTCTTGGTCTCCCGCCCTCTACTGGTCCTACTCCTCCCCTACTGAGTCCACCGCCTGTCCAGTCACAGTCACAGTTACAGCCTGCCTCTCCGCTGCCTGCTCCTTCTCCTTACACTGCGCCGACGGGTAGTCTTACTGAGCGTCGTGAGCCTGAGTCTCGTCCTCCGTCGCCTGAGTCTAGTCCAAAGTCGCCTGTGTCGCGTCCAGAGTCGCCTGTCCGGGCTGTCCGCGCTGGTCGTCGTGCTCCGCGTGAGCGTCCTCCTCCTGTCCTTGGCACTCACTATATGACCCTGCGTCCTTCCACTGCTCCACAGCGCGTCCCTCTGCCGTCTCCTCCTGCGTCCTCTCTTCCTGACGTTGCTGACCCGCCGTCAGACCTTACTCGTGCTGCCAGTCCTACTGTCGCGCGTCTCCTTGCCACTGTTGTCACTGACCCTACCTTTGAGTCCTCTGCTGCGTCTGCTCTAGTCGCTGAGCTTGCTGACTTTGCTGCCGCCTGTCGTCTAGACTACGCCGCTAGCCTTGTTGCTGAGTCTGAGTCTGTCTGTCCTCCGTCCGTCGGGGGTGAGTGTGCTCTTGGCACGGACGTCCTTGAGGACAGACAGGAGGAGTTTGAGTGCTTTGCTGCTGCTTTACCTCATCTCGTGTCCATGCTGATTGCCCCTGAGGGAGACCCGGATGCACCAGACATCCCGACCCCACGCTCCTACGCAGAGGCGATGGAGGGTCTCTACTCCTCTCAGTGGCAGACAGCCATGGACGCAGAGATGGCTTCCTGGAAGTCCACAGGCACCTACGTCGACGAGGTTCCCCCACCTGGGGCGAACATCGTCAGTGGCATGTGGATTTTCAGGGTGAAGCGGCCGCCGGGTTCTCCGCCTGTCTTCAAGGCGCGTTACGTTGCACGAGGCTTCAGTCAGCGAGAGGGAGTTGACTTCTTCCAGACCTTCTCCCCGACCCCGAAGATGACCACTCTTCGGGTTCTGCTACACGTTGCTGCTCAGCGTGACTACGAGCTCCACTGCCTTGACTTCAGCAATGCGTTCCTACAGGGCACCCTGCACGAGGAGATCTTGCTGCGCCGCCCACCTGGCTTCACTGGGTCGTTCCCTCCTGGTACCCAGTGGAGCCTCCGGCGGCCAGTCTACGGTCTCCGCCAGGCACCTCGTGAGTGGCACGACACACTGAGGACTACTCTTGCTGCTCTTGGGTTTGCTCCTTCTACTGCTGACCCGTCGCTGTTTCTACGCACCGACACCACTCTGCCGCCGTTCTACGTTCTCGTGTACGTAGACGACTTGGTCTTTGCTACTGCTGACACTGAGGCACTCGCCCACGTGAAGTCGGAGCTGCAGAAGAGACACACGTGCACAGACCTGGGTGAGCTGACAAGCTATCTTGGCTTGCGGATCACCCGGGACAGAGCACAGCGCACCATCACCTTGACTCAGTCACACATGGTGCAGCAGGTCCTTCAGCGCTTCCGCTTCACGTACTCCTCGCCTCAGCCCACTCCTCTGCCTACCGGTCACTCGCTCTCAGCTCTGCCTTCGGATGAGTCCGTAGAGCCGAGTGGCCCGTATCCAGAGCTTGTGGGCTGCCTCATGTACCTGATGACCTGCACTCGACCTGACCTAGCCTACCCTCTTAGCATCCTAGCACGCTATGTCGCTCCTGGCCGTCACCGGAAGGAGCACATGGATGCAGCTAAGAGGGTGTTGCGCTACTTGTGCAGTACGTCGGGCATGGGGCTTGTGCTTGGAGGACGGTGCGACGTTGTCCTCACTGGACACTCAGACGCTTCTTGGGCTGACGACCAGGGTACTCAGCGGTCGTCTCAGGATTACACCTTCAGCCTTGGCTCTGGCTCAGTTTCTTGGCGTTCTACACGGTCTTCCTCTGTTCTCAGCTCCAGTTGTGAGGCTGAGATCTACGCCACAGCCATGGCTGCCCAGGAGCTTCGCTGGCTCACCTACCTACTGACCGACCTGGGAGAGCGGCCTCGTTCTCCTCCAGTGCTGTACGTCGACAACAAGGCCGCCCTTGCCTTGTGTCAGGAGCACAGACTGGAGCACAGAACGAAGCACATAGCTCTACGCTACTTCCTTGCTCGAGAGCTGCAGCAGCGTGGTCAGCTTCGTCTTTCGTACGTGGCCACTCGGGCCAACACTGCTGATGTGTTCACCAAGGCGCTTCAGCCTTGTGATCATCAGCGTTTCTGTACTGTTCTAGGCCTTGTGCCTACTCTCCCTCACTTGCTCACTTCTTGACTCTGCTTGTACTGTGATCTCTATATATATACCTGCATGCTTACACTTGCTAGGTTGTGATCACTGTACCTCTTGTTACATTATCAAACTGCATGTGAACTGGTCTTGTGACCGTGTGCTTGTGCTCGGAATTTGTGTGGTATCCTTGAGATCCACCCTGAGCTTGTTTTGCTTTGCTTTGACTGGTCCTGTGACCCCTTGTTCTCTCCCACTTAGCCTATGGGGGTGTGTTAAACATTGTATGTGTTATATTTGTGTAGGCTATTGTGGGTTAGCCTCTAGGGGGTACAGAACTTTAGGTTTGTCATACTTGTACTCTCATTCTGTTGCTAGTCAATCATTCTCGTTCTCTCTAAAGTTCTAACACGGGCAGGGCAGTACGGACAGATCGGGCAGGTCGGAAACTATCGGTGGGCCCTAACAGAGCGGTCCTACGGACGGACCCGCTCTGAATACCATGTCAGAAGTAGGAAAGTAAGAATGGGCTAGGATGAGGACAGTACAGGATTGTATAGTCCTAACCCTAAATTGTTGTACCCTTTAGGGTGTTGGAAATACAAAGTATAAGAAAGTTATATGCTGTTAGGTTTTAGTGTAATCCTCCTTATAAGACTCCAGCTCCTACAATAATTGTACAATTATTGTAGGGGCTGCATTATTGGAGTCTAGAGTAATGGGGGTAGAATTATTGGTACTCCTTTATTGGAGTTGCCATTATTGGTGATACAATTATTGAAGTGGATGGGTCATTTTGGAGGGGTAGTTGCAGGCATAAATACCCTGCTCTGTGATGCCACAAAATCCATTCCATTGTTCTAAATCCTTTCAGTTGCAAGTTTCTCTTGCTACTTATTCTACAATCAAGGCTTCCGCTACGCCGGCACTATGCCTTTCTAGCATGGTATCAGAGCTACTCTAGGGGGCATGCTGCCAAAATTTGGTCAGAAACCTGTTACACTTCACATTGGACAGACACATTAGCAAGAGGGCAACGATTGGATTGAAGGCATGGCACGGTTCGACGGTGAAGTCGATGCTGGATACGAGGCGTTTGAAGAAGCAATCTTGTTTCAACATGAACACCTGGAGAACATGATTGCAAGGGCACCACCAGCACTTCAAGCGTCATTAAGGGCGAAGTTCAACATGCCAATCAAGTCAAGGGCATCACACACTCCATCAAGCACTCCGCATACTAACCAAACTCACGCTTCAAATGTGCATGCAGGAGTTGAGGGTGAAGGGGAAGGGAGCATACCTCAAGGAGGAGAGTCATCCCAAGAGGGGGATGCATCCGTCCAAGGAGAGGAGAGCTCGAACCCCGCACCTCAATCAACCATGCAAAGGGAAGCACGGGGGAGGAATGATGAGTATGGGAGTGGGCTGGATGAAATGGAGCATGGTGATGGGATTGGCGTGGGAAGGCACATGAGAGGGCAGATTGGTGAAAGGAGTGGCAGACTGAGTCATGTGGGCGTGGAAGGTGTGGGATTTGAATCCTACACTATTGGTGCACCCCCACTTCGACGGTTGGCCACTAATACTCATCCCATTGGAGTTTCCCCAATAACCAGGCCTCACCTCTTTGGCGGAAGTGCCATACCTCCTCGTGCACCGCGGCCTCAAATGGGAGCTGTACCTGCATGGAGCATGGGGCGCATGGGGCACGGGATGCAGTCAAGTGGTGTTATGCGACATGACCAAGTGGAAGTGGTGGAACGTGAAGGCACACAACGCACGGTACAACTACCTCGACCGTCTACCGTGCCAACTCTCTTCGACCCGTCTCCCCGCGAGTACACGGAAGAAGACAAGGACCGGTTGTCACGCAAAATGGTGGGAGCAACGGTGGACAAAGCGTTCACCACTACTCCGTTCGACGGCACTAACTTCCGGGAGTGGGCTCTTCGGTTTCGTATGAACGCACGCGTGACAAACCTGTGGGAGTTCTTTGTCACTCTTCAATACCCCGTTTCCATGGCAAATGGCGACGTGCGAGATGCAATGGAGCGGCTGGAAATTCTGCAAGTGGACTACTCACAACGTGCAACGCTAGCGTTTTGGGTGCTACTGCACAGCGTTAGCGCAACGATTCAGCTGCAATTGGACATGTTTCAGGAATCGTACAGTCCGGCATTCGAAGCATGGGAGTATCTGATGGAGACTTACCAGGCGAAGGATTCGGTGGCAAAGGCGTTTCTCCAAAGGCAATTGGACAACCTGAAGATGGGGAGTCAGGAGAGATTGGAGGAATACGTCAACCGCGCAACGGCGATTCGGGACAAGCTGGCATTGGCGGGGAAGATGGTGGATGAGGACACGTTCACGCTCACCGGACTGCCACCGGACTGCCAACGCAATGGGAAGAACTAAGGCATGCGGCTATGTTGCAGGACATAACGGACAGCTACACGTTGCAACGGATGATGATCCAAGAGCAACGCTACCAAGATCTTATCACAAGGACTAACCGTGATCGACGTCCTCCACGCATTGCTGGACAAGCACGTGAAGACTCACCAGGAAAGGAGCGCACCGGTGACTACGATGGCATGAATATGGAAAATTCAAACGAAGGGCTGCAAATGAAGAACACAAATGGCAACAATGAAGGAGGAGGACGCTCACCTCTCGTGTGTTGGTACTGCAAGCAATCTGGTCACCCGTTTTCCAAGTGTCCCAAGGCACCTCCAGGTTGGGCACCACAAGGATGGGAACGAGGGAGAACAAATCAACGCACCGGGAACAGCCGTTCGACCTCACCTCGAAAGAGTGGCAGCCCCAAGCGTGGCGACAACAATGAGTCAAAAGGGCAAGGAGCAGCCGAGACAAGCACCAAGCGCACCGTCACATATATTGCAACAACTCGGTCACCACAAGCGGCCTTATCCAAGACTGTAGGGTTTTCGTGGTTGCTGGACAGCGGTTGTAGCCAGCATATGACATCGGACAAGAGGTGGCTCGAGAATTTGAAGGAGCTGAACGAACCAGTGTACGTGGAGCTTGCTGATGGGAGCACTCTGAGCAGCTCAATGGTGGGCACAATCAGAGCAGCGGCACCCGATGGGACAACGATCCGGTACACAGACGTCCTTTACGTACCCGGTTTGAAGAGCAACCTCCTCTCCTTTTGTCAACTGCTGAAAAAGGGGGCTCACATCAACACCATTGCTGATGGAGACACCGAAATCACTATGCCTTGTGGTGATGGGTGTGTACGGATTGGACTTGGCAAAAACGTGCATGGAGTGCTCATGGTGGAATATGAGCCAGCACTTGCTTCTGCCAATGAATCTGGACATGATGATGAAGCATTGAATGTGGATGGTAATGGAAGGCTGAATGGACATTCTGCTCAAGTGCCCATTACCTACCGACTGGCACACAAAGCGATCGTGCGGGACGTGGTATGTGATGTGACGGACACTCACTCACCGCACTCCTTTGATGACATGCTGCCGGGCGATGGGTCTTTGCAGCATCACGCCGATGAAATCTCACCTCACGTTGCGGTGTGGACTTCAGGGGGAGAAGGTCACAGGTATGTGGTAGATGAAGGAGACTCCACAGAACCGGACTTACTCGGAGCTGATAAAGTCAGTACAACCAAAGAAAAAGGGAGTGCTGCAACAAATGACTTGCCTGCAGCAGATGTCTCTGTACCGTCGGAGAATGATGGTGATGCGGACAATGAGGTGGGGCAAATCCAGCAAGGAGCAGATTACCTCACCAAGTCGATTCCACCGGAGCAGGATCTGTCAACAATCAGCCAAAGGGTGCAGGTATTGCACACGCATGTACGAGCTTCTCGAGGCGTGCTGGACAACAAGGCGTTACGTAACTCCACAACCTCACTCATGTGTTTGCAGCCGTGTGCATGATCACACACGTTGTGAGTACAAACACATGGGTGAGGGGGGGAGGGGTGTGGAGTATGGAGTATCTCACAGCATGGAGCAAGAGTTGTGAGTTTAAGTTCACTTTCATGTTTCACAACGGTCAAGCAACATACGACAGAAGACCTACTGCATCATTATTGAACAAGTGGGGACAACTCTCTGGTGGTTGGGCACTGTTACTGGTCGCCAACAGTTGCTGCAGTCGTGCGTCAGCTGCCTCTGCAGACCGCCAGCTGCCTCTGTTGGTTTCAGGGGGAGTGAAACACCACAAGTGAAGACGTTAATATAATACAAAGGTATGCATGGAGGACTACACTACTGGATCAAGGACAAAAGTGTACAACGAAGTGCTGGAGCTACAGGAGATACAGCCCCCGGTCTGCCAGCTTACCATGGGGCAGCTGCTGCTGGTCATGAAGGACGACAGCTGCTGTTGCTGCAGGCCGCCAGGTGCAGCCCGCGAGGTGCAGCTCCAAGGTGCTGCAGGCCGACGGTAGCTGCTGCAGGTCGGAAGGAGCTGCTGCTGCTGTCAGGCTGCTGGTGCTGCAAACCGTCGCCTGCTACTGCAGAGTGCAAGGTGCTGGTCCAGATGCCAGCTGTTGATGCAGGCCGCTGGCTGCTGCTGCAACACCAGCTACTGTTAGTGCAGCCCGCCAGGTGCAGCCCGTCAGGTGAAGCCGCCAAGTGCTGCTGCAGGACGACAGGTGGTGCTGGTGCTGCCGCAACAGCTGAGTGCGGGCGTGGCGCAGATCGCTAAGAGCTGGTGCTGCCGCTAAGAGCTGGTGCTAGAGAAGTCCTGCAGCTGTTGCTGCCCGGCAGGTGTTCCTGTCCGCCAGCCGCAGAAGCTCCCGTTCGCCAGCTGGTGTGGGCGGGGGGACATAACAAGATAATTGAGAAATGGTCACATGGCTTTGCAAGCACAAGGAATACGAGGCAGCCACGACGAGGCAGGGGGAGAGAGCTGAGGATCAACTCACCGTCATGTTGGTGCTGGCCAACAGTTACAGGTGCAGTCCGATGAGCACTGGCGCAGATCCGCCAGGAGGTGCTGGTGCCGTGCGTGTGAACCAGCTTCCGCTACTGCAGGCCACCACTGCTGCTGGCCAAGTGATGCTGCAGGAGCTGCTGCCGCCATGCGCCACCATCCGTCGCCAAGTACCAGGAGCAGGAGGCCGCCACCGATGCAGCAGCGGACTCGCGCCAGGTCGTCAGCGACTGCTGACGTGCGGCTGGTCGCCGAATGAGGGCAGCGATGTCATGAGCAAGGAGGAGCACAGGGGGAGCGCGCATGCTGCTGCAGCCGTACGCCAGCCACTGCAGCCGGTCGTCACGGGCGCTGATGCAGCAGTGCGCGTCATGCTGCTACAGGGTCGCGTTCAGTAGCCCGTCAGTTTCTGAAGTAGAGCGCCAGCAGCAGCAGCTGCAGTTCAGGTCGCGAGCTGCTGGAAACGCGTGTCAGGCGCTGTAACCACGCACTGGCTGCTGACGACGCTCTGCTAGTGGTCGCGTCATGCACGGTAGGCACGTCAGCAGCTCGAACAGATCGTGCGCCAGCAGCTGCTAGTACTCGCTTACTGCTGCAGGTCGCGCCCTCCTAAAACGAGTATTTCGGGCTGCTGCTAGAGGACGTGGCAGCAGCTGCTAAATCATCATTTACTGCTGAAGGTCGAAAATCAGAGGATCGCCACGGACAAGTCACGATATCGTCAGCAGCGGCAGCCATGGCTAAGAGTGGCTAGAGGTGGCGGGAAAGTCGAGATCTGAAACGGGAGAAAGTGACGAGCAGGAGCTGCCTGCCCAAAGTGAAGGGGAGAAACGTGAGAGGGAATGGCGATGAGGAGGAGAATCGAGAAACCGGGGTATGCACGGAGCACCAGGAGCAGAAACACCACCTCACGAGGAACGTGCAACTGCTACAGTAACTTCGTTCGACACGTTTTCAATCTGAAACTACAAACCCTAGGGTGGTGGTTTGCTCCGCAATCAACGGGAAACGTGAAACGGAATCACCGGGTCTACAACTTCAAACGTAAGTGTGTTTTTGTGGTACACCACCTCATCCTCTTATGCTCCACAGAATGAACCCCAGTAAATTCACAGTAAAACCTACAACAAGGGGGAGTGTTGGAAATACAAAGTATAAGAAAGTTATATGCTGTTAGGTTTTAGTGTAATCCTCCTTATAAGACTCCAGCTCCTACAATAATTGTACAATTATTGTAGGGGCTGCATTATTGGAGTCTAGAGTAATGGGGGTAGAATTATTGGTACTCCTTTATTGGAGTTGCCATTATTGGTGGTACAATTATTGGAGTGGATGGGTCATTCTGGAGGGGTAGTTGCAGGCATAAATACCCTGCTGTGTGATGCCACAAAATCCATTCCATTGTTATGAATCCTTTCAGTTGCAAGTTTCTCTTGCTACTTATTATACAATCAAGGCTTCCGCTACGCCGGCACTATGCCTTTCTAGCATAGGGTATGCCCCACTACAGCCTACAGCGCAAATACAATTTGACATTGCTATCCCCCACTTTGCCTATGGGGGTGTGTCAAATTGCATTTGTTATCTCTAGGCTGTAGTGGGGCATACTTTAAGGAGTACAACACATTAGGTCATTCCTAGTACTTGTACTCATGCATGCCTACTAGTCAATCATTCATACGTTCTATTTCTGACAGTCTGGTGATCATCAGCGCTTTTGCAATGCTCTTGGGTTTGTGCCTACTCTCCCTCACTTGCTATAGTCTTGTTCTAGCCTTGCTGTCAGGGCCTCAGATTCGTTTGAGGGTACCCTGTGGACTCAGGGCAGTTTTTAAGAAACCCTATTTTGTCCTGAAATGTCAGGACTGTGCAAGGATGGGTTTGCTGTAGGGTCAGTGCTACAAATGACATTATCCTGGCCCGTCAGTGCTACATTTCATTTTATCCTGTGCACCCCGGTAAAGGCTGTATTTGTTATAATTAAGAGCCACTGTGGAAACTTTTTTAATAAACATGCATTTCAACATTCATCGTCCTCCTCCTCCTCCTCTAGAAAATCTTGAAAAGCATCATTATCATTGTCCCCCCCACTGTCTGCTGCACCCCCCCCATCCTCTGCGTGGTGGTCACGCTTCTCTGCAAGTGACCCCCGAAACCCTGTGGCACTCCTCTTCGATACATTCACCGTGGCTGCCTTGCGCTTGGTGGGTCGCCTCTTCTTGGTGCTGCGCCACAGTGCCACAATTTCACTCCACACCATGTCGTAGTCTAACAAACTGAGCGTCATGAGGTCGCCCACCTTCGCGTCGTGCAAGCTGGTCCGGATCCAACTCTTGATCACATTTTGGCGCGAAAATCCGCGCTCGCACTCCACTGTGCTGAGAGGCAACACCGCCACAGCCGCCCACAGCCGCACCAGGTTCGGATAAGTCCTCTGCCAGTCCGAAGTTGACAGTATCGCCCGCAAGCCAGCATGGAAGGCCTGCTCCTCCTTTGGCGCCCCGGACAGCACAGACAGGAAAGTTCGCATCTCCTTCCGCACTTCGTGCTTCTTGACACCTGCTTGGTGGGGTATGAAAGAAACACATAGGAGGAGAACAGACACGGGCGGTTATATCGGTGCAAGAAACACTGCAACGTTTAGTGTGCCAACACACACGAGAACTCACCAGGAAGGATCTCTTCCCTGTCGCGCGCATGGAACATCACCGCCAGCTTCTCCATGTATTCCTTGCACTCCGCGTCCCTCGCCTCTTTCCCACGCGGCCAGGTTCGTGGCATGAACAGCTTTGCGGCATTGAGGTTCGACAGGTCGCCAAGCCGAAAGTCGAGGTTGTAGAGCAGCTCCGTCGCAAACGAGCGGCACGTCCGAATGCAAGACGGGAGGTCACCAGCGCCCACCGAGTAGCCAGGAATCTGCTCCTCGTGCAGGGTGAACTCATGCTCCCGTGGCTCACCGTCGGTGTCCACTCCCTGCACTTTCAGGCGCCTGCTGCATGCAGCACTATGCCGAGAAAGGAACGGTGATAGTTGTGCGCTCGCTTTAGCACCGAACTGCTGCCCACAGTCAATGTACCGCTCCCTGATGAAGACTTCGAGTCGCCTCATCTGGGAGTGAACCGCCGTCAAGTCGACCTGTGTTTACGGGCAGGGAGGATAGAGGGCAGAAGAGTTCAGTGAGCAACGAACCTAGCGAGATGACATCACTGGAAAATGATTAGCCAATACCTCGCGCCTCTGGAAGAGAAGGTTGAGCATGTTCAGCTCGACGTGTACATCCGCCAAGAAGTACACGAAAAAATGAAACTTCAAGCTTGTGACCATGTGGTAAGAGGTTGCATCCAGCTGCTCCAGTAGAACCACCACCGCCGATAACACCTTCACGAACCGAGCAATCGCGTCACCACGGCTTAACCAGCGGACGGCGTGGATGCCTTGCAGCTCCAGGTTCGTCCGGGTGAAGACGGACTGGAGCTCCTTGAATACTGCATGCGACGTCGAGCTGCGGCCGAGATGCTCCGCCAATGCACGGATGAGGACGTCAACCATGCCGAGCTCCGGGAGTGCTTCTGCCGAATCCTTTGCAGCAAGTGCCTCCCTGCCAGGCATAAAACAACACGGGCGTCAGACAGTTTTAACAAATCTTACAGCAGACTATGCTATACTCCCACCTGTGGGCGATGCAGTGGCAGGAAACCAGGTGCGGGATGCAGAGTCGAAGTCGCCCAGTCAGACCGTTGGTTCCGCCGAGCATGACTGGAGCGCCGTCGGTGCTGATCCCTGCGATCTTGCTTAGGGGGATGCTGATGCTGTCGAGAAAACCGACGAGCAATGCATACAGTGATCCTGCATCACATTTTTCCACGGTCAAGAGCGTCAGGAACTCTGTGGTAACCTCGTGCTCTCTCAAGAAGGTGACGAAGACGATCATGTGCTTCCCCCACACGCGGTCAGTGCTCTCATCACAGCTCAGGCCAATAAAGGGGCTTGAGTCTATGAACTCGCGTTGCTTCGCACGAAGGTAGCTCGCTGTAGCCGACACCAGTTCCTGGAACCCGTACCTGCGCGGCGACAGAAAGAGAACTAGTGTGTTAGCCCGGCAAGATAGGAAAGAGACAGCCACCCTGGTGTTATTTAACAACATGTCATCGGATACTTACGTTGTGTAATAAGCGCCGTATCCATTCTTCGCGAAGCCTGGAGTCCCACGGGATGCAAGGTGCCGTACGAGTTGCACCCACATCTCTATGGGTGCGTCCGTCTTTGTGATGAAGAGCAGAGTGTCCAGAAGCGACTCCACAGCCTCATGCTCCACGTCACGCGCCTTCGGACAGTCGGGGATGCGATGCTGGCCGGTTGCTTTGGCGAACGCCAGCTCCTGGTTGCGAATAGCGTCCCTGTGCTTCGTCGTCCGCTGATGTCGCTGCATGGCTTGCGTCTGCACATCCAGTGCCCCCTCGCCTTTCCCGAAGTTGGTTCCTGTGCCTCCAAACTCCATACACACAGTACACTTCATGGATGGGAATCCAAAGGAGGTTTGACAAATGATAAGCCACGGGAAGTCCTCGTGCCACCTTCTCTTAAACATTAGCAAAGCCTCCTGGTACCTTTCCTCAGCGATGTCGGGAAGTTCGGTGTCAGAGGAAGCAGTGGCGGCGGTTTCAACAAGCACAATGGGTTCCGGATCTTGCCTGGAGACGGAAAGCACGGCAGTGGTGTCTGATGTACGGACGAACGACAGCTTCGTCTGGTGGTACCGATTCGCGGAGACTTTCTTGCTCGGAGGTCCTTTTCGGGTTGTCCCAGCAGCCTTCGAGCATTCACCTTGCGTACGAATCGGCGGAGGAAGGGGCTCGTTATCAACCACGACCGGAGCTGCTGTCGAGGGAGAAGGCACGGGCGGCTGAGACGGCGATGGGAGAGTTTCAGGTGCGACAGCGGTATTATCTATTGTGGGTGGTGGCGGCGGTTGAACGGGCCTGGTGCGCAATAAATCGAGGCCCGTCAGCCCTACTGGCACGACCGTAGGGTTAGGCATGGCGGGTGCTTCACCATCGCCCGCCGGCGATGGGTCAGCCATGGGCGGTCAGAACGGGGCGATTGTAATCAGAGATACGGCGTCGAGGAGCTAGCAAAATCACGGGGAAAACACAGTTTCTTGGTCGTCCGCCTGGGGTTTGGTAGGCAGTCAACGGCAGGCTGGAGAGGATGGAGTGGAGGAAGAGACGGAATCACAAAGATTCCTGAACCTTGCCATCCCAACCAGCCCCATACACATGGCGCCTCGACCAAGGGTGTCGCGGCGCCACAAAACAGTCTTGAGCTGGCCAGGCACGCTTGAATCCAGAACGTTCTGCGGCGCCAGCGAGGCATGGTGGCGCGTGAATGTCTGTTGATTGGATGAGCATGCGGGTGTGGGTGGATGACATACAGCGTTTCCTGGCTAGGAGGGAAGCACGTGATGCCCTCGTATTGCAAAGATGGCCGTGCAGTTCCCGCGTGGTGAGGTCAGCGCGGCGCACTGTCATTGGTCGTCATTACAGCAATGCTGGTTTCCACGGTGGGCGCGGCGTGGTTCTGCGCCAGCCATGCAAACTTACGCTGTACCTGGTCGGTCGCAGGGTACACTAGGCCCCGGGCGAAAATGCGCAGTACTCGCTTCAGGACGCATCTCAACACTACACTGACTCAACAGGGCTGAACCTAAACCCTTATACTGAGTTTCCAGCACGCAAAATAACACTTATACTGTTTTTATAGGACAAACAATTCCGCTTTGCTGTTTTTGCAGGACTGGCACATGACACCTATCCTGAATTCAGGAGAATCAGGATAAATTATCCTGATATCTGAGGCCCTGCTTGCTGTACTCTGCTATATATATCTATACCTGCATCCGTACACTTGCTAGGTTGTGATCTTTGTACTGATTTTGCTATTATAACACTACATGTGAACTGACATTGTGGCCGCTTGCTTGTGCTCGGACTGTGTGGTGATTTTGGGATCCACCTTGAGCTATGTTTTGTTGGTTCTTTTGATTGGTCTTGTGACTGTTTTGTTGTCCCCCACTTAGCCTGTGGGGGTGTGTCAAGTCAATATGTGCTTGTTATGATTTAGTGGGGCACACAATATAGGGTACAACACTTGTTAGGGTTTCTGCTTGTACCCCCTCCATTCATTCCGCTGTTCAGTTCAGAGATGTAGTGAAGGTACATCTTAGGGGGTACACCAAAATTCTCGACACCTTCTTGTACCCTCCTTTCTCTAGTCAATCAACCATTCTCCCTAAACTACTTACGGTAGTTTCTAAGATAAAACATAAACTAGAGTGAGATGCCAAGCCCCAAGATGTCAGTAACAGGATCATCTCTTAACAGAGGCACAGTGTTCCACGCATGCAGGCGCAAGGCATGGTGGCGGGGCAGACGCTGGCAGCCCAGGCTCACAGCAAGCACGTGGGCTGGCGACAGCTGGACTAGCATGCTGCGCCACATGGCGCTCTCTGGTTGCGCCACATCAGCATCGCAGGCGAGCATCTCGTGCGACGAGGCATGAGGCAAAGAGTGAGCGGCAGGGGAGGCACCGGGGGCTGGTTGGTCGCAGGCGAGCAGAGGAGGGGCGGGGCTGGAGCGGTGGGTGAGGTCAATGGCCCACGCCTGTGAGGGCGAGGAGGGGGGAGAGAGGAAGATGCGACCATTTGCATGCAGCCTGGGAGGTCATGTGTCAAAGAGGACGACTACATGCTTCCACATGGGTACAGCCTTGACTGAAACAGGTCCCACGGGGGGGAGGGAGACGTGCAGGGGAGCGGGGAGGCACGTTGACCTGGTGGGCGCGGCGAGGGGAGGCACGGTTACCTGGTGGGCGCGGCGAGGGGGAGCGAGGGCGTGGTGGAGGGCGAGGGCAGCTTGGTGCGAGGGTGAGAGGCGGAAGGCGAAGGAGCGGAAGGGCAGCGCGTTCATGCCCCTCCCATGCGCCTTCACGTACGCCTCCTGGCAGGCAGGCGGGCACCCATGCGCAGTGAGACAGGCCACACAGGAGGGGGCAAACCGGGAGGGGACAGGGTGGTAGGGCCGTGGAAGGGGAGAAATGTGGGGTAGGGGAAGAGGGGAGGGGAGAGAAATGGTTCCGGAGGGAGTGAGGGGTTGGGAGAGGTGGAAGAAACGAAAGCAAGCAGTGAGCGACGGGCAGGCCAGCCCTGCGCCTATGCATGGGGTAGGGGGAGTGTCATCCTGCACTCCAATGCTCACTCGCCTCTTCCATTCCCCCTCCTCTCCCATCCCCCCTCCTCTCCCATTCTCCCTCCTTCCTTTCCCCCTCCTCTCACCTTCCTCCTCCTGTCACCTTCCGCCTCCTCTCCCCTTTCCCCCCCTCTCCCCTTCCCCATCCTCTCCCATTGCCCCTCCTCTCCCCTTCCCCCTCCTCCCCCCTTCACCCTCCCCTTCCCCCTCCTCCGCCGTTCACCCTCCGCATCCCCCCGCCGCTCACCTTGAGGGTCCACAGGTGAACGAAGCGCCGCTGCCGCTCCGTCTCATCGCGCCCCGCCCCCACCCACGCCGCCTCCTCCGCGGCAAAGCGCCTTCTCGCCACGGGCAGCACGCCCCTCCGAGGGCAGCGAGCGGAGCCCTCCACGTCCACCCCCACGGGCATGGCGGCCGTCACCGCCACGGCAATGAGGCCCTCCGTGTGGCTCACGTTGAAATGCAACGCCACTGCCCCGCGGCTGCTGCTGCTGCTGCTGCTGCTGCTGCTGGGTGTGCAAGAGTCATCACTGCGGCTGTCAAGATAATTCCTGCGGCTCCCAGGCGCCGTGTCACCTGCACTCTTACTGCTGCATTCTATGCCCTCGTCGGCTTGAGAAGCTTCTTCCTGTCGCCACGCCAAGGGGGCGTGTGCCCCATCCATCAGCTCCGATGACCGCCCTGCCTCTTTGCTGCCCCCACACCTCTCCTGTGATCCGCTCGCCTTTGCCCTCTCCTGCCAACACTCCTTCTGCTGCTGCGAGGGTTGGGTGGGTGGGGTGGGCGAGGCAGAGGTGAAGGTGGAGGCCCAGCACACCTGGTTGGGGGGATGAGGGGCGCACGGGCAGGGATGAGGCAGTTGGAAAAGGCAGGGGCGAGCTAATTGGGAGGTTGAGAATGAGAACACATGACAACAGCACCAAGGAGAGAGTACAAACAAGAGGCGCGAGGAGAGGGGTGGGGGGGAGGGTTTGGAGCGGGAGGGGTACATTGGAAACTTCAAACTGCCAATTCTGCCCGCCCCACTGCCAATCCTGCCCGCCCCACTGCCATTCCTCCTACCCAGTGCGCCGGCCTGACGTGCAGCCCTGGTGTCCACCCCCACCACGACCTGCTCTCGCCTCACTCACTCCAACCCCCTCCCCCCCCCGTGCTCTGCACCCCATGCACGGCTGCTCCCTCGCACGCCTTCCCCGTTAATTTTTGCCGTGCCCCTCACCACACCTCCTCACCTGCGGCTTGCCCCTCATCCCACCTGCGGCTTGCCCCTCATCCCACCTGCGGCTTGCCCCTCATCCCACCTGCGGCTGGCCCCTCATCCCACCTGCGGCTTGCCCCTCATCCCACCTGCGGCTCGCCCCTCATCCCACCTGCGGCTGGCCCCTCATCCCACCTGCGGCTTGCCCCTCATCCCACCTGCGGCTGGCCCCTCATCCCACCTGCGGCTTGCCCCAGGGGTTGGCGCGGAAGAGAATGTCCGCCGGGTGCACCCGCCCCTCCAGGTCTGGGGTGTGGGGGCAGGGAGGGGCGGGCGGGGAGGGGAGGGGAGGGGAGGGGAATAGGGGGAGGGGAGGGGAGGGGAAGGGAGGGGAGGGGAGGGGAGGGGAGGGGAGGGGAGGGGAGGGGAGGGGAGGGGAGGGGAGGGGAGGGGAGAAAGGGGAGTTGATGGGAGGGGAGGGGAGGGTAGGTGAGGGGGAAGGGAGGGGCACGAGATGTGTAGGCGGATGAGCGTACAGGTGAGGATTGTGAGTGAGCGAGCACACGGTTCGGCAAGTGGGTGAATGCACGTGGTGTATCGCGCATGCATGCGAACAGAGCAATCCGTTGTGAGGAGCTTCCAGTGCAGCACAGCCCCAGTGAGGATCCAGCGAGCGTCCCAAGCAGCCCGCGCAAGCACGACTCACAGCGGGCGCGCAACTCACAGCGGGCGAGCGAGACGCGCACGAGGGCGCGCGTGAGCAGCTGTTGCAGCTGCGCGGGGGACAGCGGCCACGGCAGCGAGGGGGACGGCACGGAGTCGCCGCCGCTCAGCCAATAGGCGTCCGCCAGCTGGCGAGGGGATGGCAGTGTGGCGGTTGCGTGCTGCTGATGCGGCGGTGACGATGCGATCCGGTGCTTTTCCTGCTGACTCAGCAGCGACCAATAGGAGGCGAGCAGGGAGGGATCGGCGAAAGCAGAGGAAGAGGAGCGTGCGGTGGAGGAGGAGGAGGAGGAGGAGGAGGAGGAGGAGGAGGAGGAGGAGGAGGAGGAGGGCAATTTGACGCACCAGAGGTGAATTTCCCTGCAGGGCAGGGACGGTGCGGGGGAGGGGAAGGGCAGGCATAAGAAGTTATTCTTAAGGGATCATCGTCTCAGGGGCACAGTCATACACGCTTCGCAATTGAGGTAATGGGCGTGTCGAGGTTGCTTGATCGGTTTTGGTTGTGACGACAATTCTCGCGCGGAAGGCGCGAGTGCGAAGGCGCGCTACCCGGGAAGTGGGGACGGTCGAAGCAGCGCGGGCGAGAGGCGCAGAGGGGAAGCCATGGCGCGTGCGCGCAAGCGGTGAGTGCGCGCGATGCAGCGACTGCGCGGGCGCGCGAGGGTGCGAGTAGATGAGTTCCTCAATCTAAAGCCGTCTCGTCACCCTGTTTGTGCGCGCGGGCGAGAGCAGGCGAGTGCGTGGAAAGAGATGCTTGCTATCGACGCGCTGCTCGGACGCAAGAAAGCGACAGCTAGATCGATTGCACGCGGGTGGTCCGTCCGATGCGCAGAGAATGGGGGCAGCTGTGACCGACAGGACCGTGGCGGGTAAATCCGCCAGATCTGGTTTCAAATTCGCTCTGCATGAAACCACGAAACCCTCAATCTCGCAAATTCGAGTTTCGCGGAATCACCATTCACATTAAGTCGAGTTCGCGGAATTCGCCAAGCTCGCGCCCAACGTCGATATTTTCGAGACAGAATCGCCATCCAACCCAAATCCCCATGCTCCAATCATCGAGGTCGCATTCCTCACGACTAGTCCGCACAAGCAGCTATGCAGCTTCATCCCTTGCCTAGCACTCGCGTCGCAAGCACGGCATAGAAACGCCGTTTCCGCGTTGCGCCGCTCTCCGCGCAAGTCGTCTCCGCTTCCGATTTTCTGTTTGAGTTTCGCGCTCCGTCCGATTCCTCCGTGGGTCGATCTCATCCCACCCCAGGTACGCTCCGTCGTGTCCTCCTCTCTCCGCGTCTCTCCTCCGTCCAACTGGAAGGCGGGGCCTGCGAGCTCGCGCTAGTTTCTAAGTCGTTTGAAAATGCAAGATGAGAGACGAGGAGAGAGGAGAGAGGAGATGAGAGACGAGGAGAGAGGAGAGAGGAGATGAGAGACGAGGAGAGAGGAGAGAGGAGAGAGGAGAGAGGAGAGAGGAGAGAGGAGAGAGGAGAGAGGAGAGAGGAGAGAGGAGAGAGGAGAGAGGAGAGAGGAGAGAGGAGAGAGGAGAGAGGAGAGAGGGGAGAGGGGAGAGGAGAGAGGAGAGAGGAGAGGGAGATGAGCTCGTCGTCACGTCGAGCCATGCCTCCGCGTCGCCCTCCTCCTCCGGCCCGCCGCTTCTCGCGCTCGTCCTGTCCGCTACGGTCGATTCGGATCGACCCCCCCGTGTCGCGTCACTGCCCAGGCAGTCCCGGCTGAACCATTGCTCGCGCCGCGCGCGGACACGGCTGCCATGCGTTTGTCGTCGTCGCCCGCCGCCCTTTAAACACCTATGAGGCGCAAAATTCCCCCCGGCGCCCTTCAAGAACTGCCTTCGCCACTCCCGTGCCGCGCCGCTCATGCCCTCTTCTCCCATTTGTCCCGCCCCGCCTCTCCCTGCATCTCGCCTTTCCTCCTCTGCCTAGATTCCTCACTGTTGGCCCACGCTGTTACCGAGTGGGTTAAAAGGGCTATGGGTAGCGCACCCATAACCCCCCAGGTTGCGCCTGTAGCCCTCCGCACTCAACAGGGGAATGATCCCAGTGCCCCACCAACACCCACACCTCCCTCCATTCACCTCTTGTTCCCACACCTCCTTCCACCTGCTTGCCGTGCCAATCCGTCCCCTCCCTCATTTCCCTCTCGCTATAAGCACACTGCACGGATTCAAGCCGTCCTGTGTGTCGTTCACCGCCTGCAGCGTGTCCACCACTTGGCGTTGCGTACTGCCCGTCCACCCACCCCCACGCACCACACCACACCACAGCAGCACCACACCACACCACACCACACCACACCACACCACACCACAGCAGCACCGCAAGGAGCTGATTCTCATTTTACGTGCCCTTGCTCCCTTGTCCCTACTGTTCGTTCCGCCCCATTCATGTGCCCCATTCATGTGCCCCATTCATGTGCCCCATTCATGTGCACCCGGCAGCAGCAGCACCAGCAGCAGCAGCACCAGCAGCAGGCATGGCGTGTCGCGGCTTCCTGCAGTGCCTGCTGAAGCTCTTCAACTTCGCCCTCGCCATCGTGGGGGTACTTCTGATTGTGTACTCCCTCTCGCGCCTCGTTCACCTCGACCCCAACCTCCATCCACCCAGCCCCCCTTCTCCCTCTCCCTCACCCTCACCCTCCTCTCTCTCCTCCTCCGCCTCGCGCCTCGCCCCCGTCTCCATGCACCTATCCTCGCCGCTGCCTGACGCCACACAACTCGGCAGCAGCGGCAGCAGCAGCAGTGCGAGCAGCCTTGGCGGCAGGAGGCAGATGGGGGCGGGCAGCAACGAGCTGCTCCTGCCCCACCTCTGGTACCGCACTTGCCCCACCTCTGGTACCGCACTTGCCCCACCTCTGGTACCGCACTTGCCCCACCTTCCTCCCCGCTTCTCTCTCCCCTCTGCCCTCTCTCCTTTCCCCTCCCCCCTCCCTCCGCCTCCCTTCCTTCTCCCTCCCGCCCCGACCCTTGCCGTGTGTTCATCGAGTAGCCAGGCTCATCCTTCCCTGCGTGCTCGCACTCCCCTTCCGTCCATCCGCCACACTGCCTCTGCTGCCCCCAGTTGAACCTCCCGCGTTCCCTCACCTCCGTATCCCCCCTCCCCTCTCCTCCTCACCCATACTCCCTTCCCCTTCGCCCCTCCCACGTTTCCCCCTTCTCCCCCGCCCTTTGCCCCTCTCCCCTTCTCCTGCCCCCCCCCCCAACCCCGCCCCTGGCCCCTCGTCCTCCCCCTGGCAGGTTCATCTACGTGTTGGTGGGGGGGGGAGCGCTGCTCACGCTGGTCACCATAGTGGGGGCCGTGGCGGCAGAGAGCAACAACGGCTGCTGCCTCTCATGCGTGCGTCACTGCGCTGCTGCCTTGCTTGCCGCGTGCACAGCTTTTCTTGCTGCATGCGTGATGGTGTATGCTGCATGCGTGATGGTGTATGCTGCATACACCCAATTCCACCACTAGTTCACTTGTCTGTCCACCAACCATCAAGTGTTTTTGTTTTTTTTCCATTGCCTTCCTGTTGTCTGTGCCTTCCTGTTGTCTGTGCCTCCTCGTTCCCCACGGCTCCTGGCCGCCCACAGTACCAGTTCGGCCTCTGCGTGCTGCTGCTCATCCAAGGATCCCTCGCTGCCCTCGTCTGGCTTCAGGTGACCACCCGTTCGCATGTAACCTGGTAACCACCTTCACATGTAACATGATTATTGCCCTTCGCATGTAACCCAGCTACCTTCAGATGTAACATGGTAACCACCCTTCAGAAGTAGCCAAGCTACCTTCTGATGTAACCTGGTAACCACCCTTTAGAAGTAACCAAGCTACCTTCAGATGTAACCTGGTAACCGCCCTTCGCATGGAACCCAGTGAGTGAGTGCAAGTGTGAGAGTGCATGTGTGGGGGAGGGTGTCAGCGTGCACTGCTACTACCCATCATTACCGCCGTCCAAGTCACTCCATTCATCGCCTCTCCCTTCTGCCCAACCTTCTCGCCCCTTACCCCTCACCCCTCACCCCTCGTTCCTGGGCCCCTCGCCTCCGACCGCTCGCCCCCGGCCCCTCGCATGCACCTGGACGTACTGAGGACCTGACAGCGACAGTCGGGTTAGAGAGGGAGAGGGCGTTTGTGTTGCGCAGCCTCCACCGCTCAAGCTGCTCCATTCTCCAAGTCCCTTCATCCCAACCTTCTCGCCCCCTCCCCTCCCGCCCCCTCGTGTGCACCAGGACGTGCCAGGGGACCCCACGGGCGAGTACGAGAGGGAGAGGGCGTTCGTGCTGCGCAATCTCGACCTCTGCCGCCTCGCTGCCGTCAGCCTGCTGCTCGTTGAGGTGCGCCCAGCCTCATGGCGCAAGCGGGAGTGAGAGATTGAGTTGGTGAGGATACGTATTAACCACAGCGGTGGACTCGGCTGGGAGGTAGACTTAGGCGTGCAGGGTGGTGAGTGAGCAATCACATCACACGCACTTGAGATTTCGTGCCCAGCAGCAGCTGTAAAGGCTGTGGAAAGCACACTGAGATTGGCTTCGGGTTCGCCTGGAAGGGCTACTCGCAAAATGTTTCGAGCAGAGTCCTTGTCCCCAAGGCCCTTGTCCCCAAGGCCCTTGTCCCCAAGGCCCAGATTCAATTGTAGGCGTCGCCGTTAGCCCCTGCATCAGGCCACTGCGAAAGAGGAGAGTGAGGTGCAAGCTTTTCTTCCTCTTTGAGAGGCCGGTCCCATTGAAGGGAGTGTGGGAAGGACTCTGAGATTGGTTCTGCGTTTGGCCAGAGAGGTCACAAGCAGAGAGGTTCTGGGTTCTGGGTTGGGAGGCAGTGGGTGCGCTGACCCACCTCCTAACACGCCTTCTTCCATGTGTAGCCTCTCCGGCACTCGAAGCCAATCCCAGTGTCCTTTGCTGGTTGCGTCCTCTCACAAAACGAACAAAGTTCACTGTTGAGGGGCTTCATGCTTCCTCTGACCCACCTTCCTACCCTTTGCTGCTGCCCCGCTGCTGCCATCTTTGCAACCCCCTTCTCCTCGCCCCCAACCACTCCTCCTGTCGCCCTCCACTCTCCTCATTGTGCTCCATCAGGGCACGGCGCTGCTGCTGGCCATGATGCTGAGGGCCATGCACAGCGATGCTGCACTGACTGACGATGACGACGACTACATCCCCCCCCACCCCCACCCCCACCCCAACTCGCGCTTGCGCCAACCGCTCCTCCGCCCGCCCCACATGGCGCCCCCTCCCCCCTACTCCACCGCCATCCCCTCGTCCTCTGCTGACGCTGCTGCTGCTGCTGCTGGTGGTGGTGTGGGCGGGAGTGGCGCGAGTGGCGTGGGTGTGGGGGGAGCAGCGGATGGTGCAGCAGCAGCAGCAGCAGCAGGAGGAGGAGAGGGGGGAGCAGCAGCGCTGTCAGATGCTTGGCGGAACAGGATTCTGGAGAAGGTGTGATGAGGATGGGGGAATGAGGGATGGAGAAATTGGGGAGGGGGAAATGGGGAATGGGGAATAGGAAAATGAGGGGAAGGGGAGACATGGGCACCTAAGGCCACCTGAGTTTATCTGAGGCCACCTGAGTTTATCTGAGGCCACCTGGAGCGTGTATGGGCTGGCTGCAAGCGCTGCTGTATGGGGATGCGGCCATCACTCGGATGCCCTTTGACTTTTGAGTCGACTCGGATGCCCTTTGACTTTTGAGTCGACTCGGATGCCCTTTGACTTTTGAGTCGACTCGGATGCCCTTTGACTTTTGAGTCGACTCGGATGCCCTTTGACTTTTGAGTCGACTCGGATGCCCTTTGACTTTTGAGTCGACTCGGATGCCCTTTGACTTTTGAGTCGACTCGGATGCCCTTTGACTTTTGAGTCGACTCGGATGCCCTTTGACTTTTGAGTCGACTCGGATGCCCTTTGACTTTTGAGTCGACTCGGATGCCCTTTGACTTTTGAGTCGACTCGGATGCCCTTTGACTTTTGAGTCGACTCGGATGCCCTTTGACTTTTGAGTCGACTCGGATGCCCTTTGACTTTTGAGTCGACTCGGATGCCCTTTGACTTTTGAGTCGACTCGGATGCCCTTTACTGCCGGATGTGCCTGCCCCTGCTTCTGCCGCTTGCTCTCTCACTCACCTGCTACCCCAACCCCATCCCCCCTGCCCTTCCTCCATCCGTTCCCTTGCCACTATCCCTCCCACCCCGTGCTTCCCACCCCCTCCACCAGTACGGGCTGGACACCAACGAGTTACACCACCCCGTCAACGCGCCCACACAGCCCGGGCTGTAGCGACAGATTTGCCCGCCTCTGCTTTTGCCTCTCGCCCTCTCACCCACCTGCCACCATTCCCCCCTTCTTCCCACCCCTCCTCCCCCCCCCCCCCCCCCCACCAGTACGGGCTGGACACCAACGAGTTCCACCACCCCGTCAACACGCCCCACGCACCGCCCATGCCCCCGCAGCCCCCCCCTTCATCCTCCGCCTGTGCCCTCATGTGATGTGCGCCTGTGCCCTCATGTGATGTGCGCCTGTGCCCTCATGTGATGTGCGCCTGTGCCCTCATGTGATGTGCGCCTGTGCCCTCATGTGATGTGCGCCTGTGCCCTCATGTGATGTGCGCCTGTGCCCTCATGTGATGTGCGCCTGTGCCCTCATGTGATGTGCGCCTGTGCCCTCATGTGATGTGCGCCTGCTGCGGTGGGGTGGGGCGTAGACTCGTATTTGTGGGGGTGGCCAAGGGCATACACCCGTATGTGCTGGGGGAAGGAGGGCTACACTCATGTGTGTTGGGGTGGAGAGGGGCATACACTCGTATGCGTTGCGGTGGGGGTGGGCTTACTGTTATCTGGGTTGGGGTGGGCAGGGGCGTGTACACTCATCTCATGTGTGTTGGGGTGGGCAGGGGCATACACTCGTATGCACTACCTTGGACAGCATGTGCTTACGGGCCTTTTGGACAATTCCACTGTCTCAGTTCAACTGTAAATTTCTTAAGTGAAGTATGGACCATTTGTTTGGGGTCAGCTCTCGGCCCAACATTATTCGTAAGAATGGTACAGTATGGTAGTTAAAACATTACTAGAGTTACTCTCAATAAGTATAGCGGATTATCCAGAAATGGGGTAGTTACAAGCTTACTCAGAGATCTACAGCCAAGATCGGGTCATGATGAGATGTTGGTCAAGCAGCACAATTGGCGTGGCTGTGGGCAGTGGATGGCCAATACACATGATTCTCATCCCTGCCTGCTTTCTTTCCCTCCCCTTGCGGCGACTGGACTGCCCATGCACGTCACTGCCATGCACTCACATGGCACACAAGCCCATGCTCACATGGCACACAAGCCCATGCTCACATGACACACAAGCCCATGCTCACATGGCACACAAGCCCATGCTCCCATGACACACAAGCCCATGCTCACATGACACACAAGCCCATGCTCCCATGACACACAAGCCCATGCTCACATGACACACAAGCGCATGCTCACATGACACACAAGCCCATGCTCACATGACACACAAGCGCATGCTCACATGACACCCAAGCCCATGCTCACATGACACACAAGCCCATGCTCACATGACACACAAGCGCATGCTCACATGGCACCCAAGCCCATGCTCACATGACACCCAAGCCCATGCTCCGCAGCAGCTCGCATTGTTCACCCCCCCTCAGCCACGTGCCAGCCCATGTGCCCAAGTGCCTGGGTTGCCCTTCCTGCGACAAAACATGCTCACATCTTGGCACCATCCCCCACTCTTCTCAGCGTCAGCTCTCCCGCCGATTCCCTCACCACCTCACTCAACTCCTCTATCAGCTCCTCCTTCCCTCCTCTCTCCCCATCCCCTTCCGCCACACCTCCCCCCACACCCCCTCCAGCATGGTGCGTTATAAACAGACTCAGCACACGCCAGTAGCGCTGCCCGCCCCGCAGCCACGTGTCCATGTGGCCACCCGCTGCCACCTCCACGAATAGCGAGCTGCCACCTGTGTTCCGCTGCGCCTCCGCGTACAGCTGGCGCATGTGTGCGGGCGGCACGAGCTCGTCCTTTGCTCCGGATAGGAAGAGAATGGGGGTGTCGATCTGTGGGGAATCGTCAACGAAGGGTGGGGTGTGATTGAAAGAGTGCTGAGATGCCTTAATGGAGGAGAATAGACAAAAGACATTAAAACCCCAAACATCAGGGCAGCATGGCTTGTCCTTTGCTGGTCAGAAGCTCCGCGTAGAAAACAACGGGCGCGTGGTGGAGGTGTAGGAAGGAGCACCGAGGGGGTGGAGGAATGTTTATAGCATATGCTGGCCACCTGAATTGTGTTTTGAGGCCCTGTGAGGGAGGCGCACAGAAGGGGCAAAGATATGCCTTTCTACCGTCCAGATGGAGAACACAATGGGTGTGTCAAGCTGTGCGTGGTGGCAGCATGAGCAGTCAGGGTGTTATCAGTCTCACCTCTCACCAATGCCATCAGCCTTACCTTGCAGATCACATCGATTCCTGCCACTTTCCCAATTCACAAGCCTGTTCAAGGGTGTGGTTAAACACCCTTGGTGGGCCGCACGGACAGAACGGTGGGTCATGCTGCCACCACGCATGTACTCCAGCCTCGAGTAGCATACGGACACATACACACATGCATATGAATCCCACCTTGCTCATCACATCAATCGTGCGCCCCTGCGAGCGGAGCGGGCAAGCCTGTTGAGTGACGCCACAGTGCCTAGCACGGAGGGAGAATGCCACCCAGCGTGCACATACATACACACACCTGTGTGCACGGCTCTCTTTACAGAGCTTCAGTATTTTCCCGAGCCATCAAGGCACACACACATAGCTGCAGTGCACATGGGACTCTCACCTTGCCGATCACATCGATGGTGCGCCACTGTGAGCGCACGAGCCCATTGAGAGGCCGCACGCCCTTGGTGGAGAGCAGGTGGCTCAGCACGGGCAGCACCACGCCTGCCATGTCCAGCACTGACGTGAACGTGTTCTCCACCACCAACGCTGCCACCTGATGGGTGGGAGAGAGAGGGACGGCGAGGGGCATTGATTCTAGTGGCAAAAGAGGTTGAAGTACGACAAAGGCCAAATCAAGTCAACAGTCAACAGTAGCTCGCGCTTCAAATCAAGTCAACAGTCAACAGTAGCTCGCGCTTCAAATCAAGTCAACAGTCAACAGTAGCTCGCGCTTCAAATCAAGTCAACAGTCAACAGTAGCTCGCGCTTCAAATCAAGTCAACGGTCAACAGTAGCTCGCGCTTCAAATCAAGTCAACGGTCAACAGTAGCTCGCGCTTCAAATCAAGTCAACGGTCAACAGTAGCTCGCGCTTCAAATCAAGTCAACGGTCAACAGTAGCTCGCGCTTCAAATCAAGTCAACGGTCAACAGTAGCTCGCGCTTCAAATCAAGTCAACGGTCAACAGTAGCTCGCGCTTCAAATCAAGTCAACGGTCAACAGTAGCTCGCGCTTCAAATCAAGTCAACGGTCAACAGTAGCTCGCGCTTCAAATCAAGTCAACGGTCAACAGTAGCTCGCGCTTCAAATGAAGTCAACGGTCAAACACGGAGCTGAGCTCACCTTGTGGGGGTTGCGGTGGACGAGGTCGGCCCCCACGGCCCCTCCCAGCGACCGGCCAAACACCACGATGCGCTCCACATATATGTCCTCCCGGGCCAGCAGGTGATCCAGTGCTGCCTGCATGGTGCGGTGCAATGCGGTGCAACAGGGTGGTGTAAGATGCCACGATTCAGTGACCACAGTGGAATATGCAGTGTGGAATAAGAATGGATGTCGTCCTGCACGTAGTATGAAAGGAAGGGGCAAGCTGGCACGGAGAGCTTGGCATGGTGAAACATGGGCATTGCGAGTGAGTCATAGGCATGGTGAAACATGGGCATGGTGAGTCATAGGCATGGTGAACCTACGTTGGAGTGGGCGCAGGCTGGTTAATGCCTCATAACATCATAGATATGAACTAGGAGAGAGGCTAAAAGCTGGACTGTCTGATTCGATGCTCCAAATCAAACGCAATGTGGGGCCTTCACACAGCTGTTATATCAGCGGAGTAGGTGAGATTAACCCATACTAGCAGATCACCATACGATGAGGTGAGGCATGCACATCAGCAGCAGTACATGCACAGCAGCAGTACATGCACAGCAGCAGGAGTACATGCACAGCAGCAGGAGTACATGCACATCAGGAGTACATGCACATCCGAAGTGGGAGCGAGGCTGAAGTCTGAGCAACAGGAAGGGCAAGCACAGAAGCATTAGAGTGGGCCTCAAACCAACACCGGTCGGTCACCATACCTGTGCTCTCCAACACCGGCCGGCCACCATACCTGTGCTCTCCGTCCAGTTGATAAGCACTTGGACGCGATAAGCAATCAAACCCATACCCGTCAATCACAACCAATACCCGTCAATCACAACTCATACCCGTCAATCACAACTCATACCTGCGCGTCCAATCTAAGGCCCTGTTCTGTGGGCTTGCCCTCGCTGGCGCCATACCTGCGTGAGAGAATGGGGAAGAGGGGGGGAAGAAAGAAAGAGGAAGACTTTCGTAATGGAAGGCGGAGGTTGAGTTGGATGAGGGAGAGGAGAGGAGGGTGCGAGAGAAGAGGGATGGTCAATATCACAGGCAACCAAGGCAACCTGTGGATAAGGCCAGCGTTGAAAGCAGCATGTTAGACTACCTGGCTGTGTGAAACAGTACGGATGATAACAGCAGCATGGCCTCTCAGAGAGAGCACAAGCTCACCTAAAATGGCAGCAGCACGCCATCTCACTCTGTAGCAATTCAATTCACCATTGGAACTTGGTACTGCAGCAGCAGGCACAATGAAGAAAGAAGGCTCACCCGCGGTAGGAGAGCAGCAGAGAGAGAAGGCTCACCCGCGGTAGGAGAGCAGCAGAGAGAGAAGGCTCACCCGCGGTAGGAGAGCAGCAGAGAGAGAAGGCTCACCCGCGGTAGGAGAGCAGCAGAGAGAGAAGGCTCACCCGCGGTAGGAGAGCAGCAGAGAGAGAAGGCTCACCCGCGGTAGGAGAGCAGCAGAGAGAGAAGGCTCACCCGCGGTAGGACAGCAGCAGAGAGAGAAGGCTCACCCGCGGTAGGACAGCAGCAGCATGTTGCAGTGCAGGCGGTCCATGGTGTAGCGCGATGACTCCAGGCGATGCGCTATGTCTTTGAGCCAACACCGGCATCAGCGTGGCAGTGGCGGGCGAGCGAAGATTGAAGAAGAGTGGTAATCGCAGGAAAGAGATGATTGCAGGAGGGCAATGATTGCAGTTGCATGAGAAGGAGCAGGGGAAACGTTAAGGAGCAGCTGAATCAATGAAGAGTGACCAAGATTTTTGAGGCACAACGCATGATAAGCGGCAAGCAATGCGGCAGACATATTTGGAGTTTGGTGGAGCGAGGGGAGGGTCTGAGAGAAGATGGGGGAGAGAGGAAATACGGAGAGAGAAGAGAGAAGGGGAAGAG